GCAATGGGTTCCCTACATCGACCAGAGATTGTGTGAACATCGACGAAGGCTTCAGCAAGATCAGTCCCGATGAGGAGATCTACAGCACCACCGGAAAGATGTAGCTTTTCGGAGATGGACTTCAGGTGGGGGTAACTTTCTAGGCTGTTTTTCGACACTGTCTTAGCGCTGTTACATGGTTTTTTAACCGTATACACTTGGACAGTTTTCTCGATATTTTCCTCGGTACATGAGACTACGGCGATTTCTAGAATTTCAGAATCTTCTGAACGTTTTTCCCCTCCAGCGAGATTCATGGTGAGGTGAATTTGAGATCCAGTTAATCCCAGTTTCATAGCCGCTTTCTTTGAGAGTAGGCTGGTATTTGATCCAGTGTCTAGCAATGCTAGCATTTCCATGAAATTTCCATCGGCATCCTTCACTTTTACTTTCTGAATGGGGCAGAGACCGATCCCATGCTTGATCCCTTCAATGTTATGGTTCTGAGAGATAGCTCGTTCCTGTACGGAAAATGGTACTGCACTTGGATCCAAAGGTGGGACACTGTTTCTTTCATTGTGCAAAGACTTGTGGTGGTTCTTTTTGCACTTGTCGCAGGAGGTGCCATCTGGCTTCTTACAATCTCTTGTATGGTGCGATGCTCTCAAGCACTTGCGACATCTCTTATTTTGCTGAACAATGTCCCAACGTTGGTTTACCGTTAGCTTCTTGTAAATTGGACAGGCAGCAAGAAGATGTTCTTCTGGGCAATCGAAGGGGCAGGTTGCATCTTCAGGAATTTCAGTAGCTAGGTTACGGGTGTCTAACTTTCTGAAGGGTCCCACACGTCGACTTTGTTCTGCACTCTCGTTATCATATTCAAGCTTTCCCCTGGAACGAAGAGCTGCTTCTTCGTACAGCCATTCGACAAGACCGAGTACACTTTCTTCCTTCTTGTTCCTCTTCATTTCTCTCCCGAACTCAGCGTTATCACTTGGGGTGAGCTTGGACAACAGTTGTGACATGAAGAATGGTGCCTCTGAAGAAGATGTAACCATGCAATCGTTGGCTTCCATGTCATTCACATAGCTCGATATTGCGGTAGCATACCGAATTAATGACTTGGAGTCCCTTTTGACCTGGTCGTGCTTGGAAATTCCTGCCAAGAGTTCATCCATTAGCTTTCGTTTGTCTGAAAATTCAATATCTAAGATTTTCCAAGCTTGGTCGATGGTTTTGCAGGTCTTTACTTGATCTGTCCACCACAAATGGCTTGGCAACGCCTTCCTGAAACGTTGCAATTGTTCATCTTCATCTTATGCATACTTTTTCATCCAGTGATTAAACTCCTTCCTCCAGGTAGGGTACATTCTACGGCTGCCATCCCATGATGGAACTGGCAAACGTTCAAGTCCACTCTTACTAGGTTTTGATCCCGTGGACATGGTCTCCGTCATTTTTAGAACTGCGGATGTCATTGCCTTTAAGGTTTCTGTCTCTTCTTGAGGTTTCTTGGAGCTTACTTCTTTTTGGTAGGCAGCAAACTTTTTAGATATCTTCAAATATTCTTCCTTTACAGCGTCACCTATTCTTTTGTGAGCTTCCTTCAACGTTTCTTCTACACCCCCCTCTACATATTTGTCTGCGATGAATTCTTGCTGCTCCTTGATACTTCTGTATTTGGTTTCGAGTATTGTAAATATTTGTTCTAGCCTTTTAATTGTGGCTGAATTTCAAACACCGTCTCAAACTCTTCAAACAATTCTTTTAAAGCATGTATAGCATTGTCTCGCTTCCCTAAGAGCGTTTTGAAGTTTATTTTAGGCGGCATCCTGAGCGATGGTTATTTATTTTATTTTTTATGACAGTCTATATCCGGTTTAGCAGTGTCGTGTCCGTATAAAAATGTTCTTTAGCAATGGCGCCCCGAACGCCCGCGTTTTTGCTCAAACTAACGTTAATTCGACGAACAAAATGCTCAGTAATAATAGAAGCTTTGATTTACCTTTCAGTGATATTTGTGATGAACGAATTATCTTCAAGGACGGTCTGTCGCTCGTTTTGGCTATCGGTTGTCCTTGAAACAATCGTTGAATGACTCGTATTATTATAAACTTTAAATATAAATAATCTCTTCCTCAGTCGAACGGCTTGTGATTCCTTCGGTCTGTAGAAATTTGACTGTTTTGCATCTACGCCAACCGGGGAGACGCTACTTTGTTTGAAGCAAATCACATTGAAATACCCAAATCTGTTTTCTCTTTCTGCACTAATACTTTATTTTGTAAATAGTCAACTATATAAATCAAGCAAAATTACAGCTATTACAACAACTCAGATATACTGACAATTGAAGGTTGCAGCAAGACTGACTTACAATTCGTGAGGCATAATCTGAGTATCCTTGCCTTTTCCTAAGTTATTATTTTTAAGTTTTTTGTTCACTGTATTTAACATAACAAGTTCGCTTTTTTAGTTTCTTTCTTTCCAATTCCGCGAAGCTTCCTCGCCGTTTCACTTCCTCCGTCCCACTCCCCTCTCAACACCGGCGATCGCAATATCTTAACAGGGGTATCTTGGCAAAGATGTTGCAAGTTCTGTAACATTTTGTGGCAAGTTAATACAATGCCCTGAATAACCTCGTTGACCACCTGGTTTAATATAAACTCGCATGATAGGCAAAGCACGAGCAATTAACATTTCCTCAACTTGAGTTAAATCTTTTAATTCATTTGGAACATGTGAAGGTATCATAGAGTTTTCACAAGAAAATTTTTTTGGAGATTTTTTATCTCTAAAGCATCGTGAACACATATAAATAATACCACCATTTTGAGTGCTATCAAACATTTTTAAATAATCCTGTTGGTTCATTTCACATTGAGGCTGTGAACGTTTTTGCTTTTGACAAAGTTTGTTTTTCTCAAGTCGCAACTCTCTCTGACTGTCACTTTCCTCTGAACGCTTTCTTTTTTTGGACTCCCTTTCTTTCTGAAGTCTAATTTCTCTTTCACTGCCAGTTTCTACGGACTGCTTGCGTTTTTTGGACTAACTATCCCATTGAAGTCTAATTTGTCTTTTATTGTCAGTTTGCATTTTTTTATAAGATCTATTTTTAGCTAACCTTTTCTCCTTTTGCTCTGGGGACTCATTCTTTCTGCGAGCTGTCATATATTGACGTTCTTTTTGAAGTCTGGATTGCCTTTCTTCAAGTGACTCATTCTGTTGTTTTTTCAGTTTGTACGCTTTTGCATTTTCCAAACTTTTTTCTCTCTTTTCAGAGAAATCGTTGTTTCTTTGAGCTATATCACAACTTTGCATTTTAGCCAACTTATCTACATCATACTGTTCTACTGTACTATTCTTATTTGACAAGTCAGTTCTTTTATTACACTTAACACCCTTTAACTCAAATGGTGTAGAAACATTCTGAACACACAAACATGACATTAAATTAAAATATTGAACAAGATTTTGAACTCCCTCAACTGAAGTTAAAACAGAATAACCTGATGCACATGGCATCCCATGAAGATCTCTGGAGTGAGAATCAAAAACTTTAAACACATCAGGAAAAGGCATAAATATTGCTACAGTATTCATACTGATTGTGAGTAAACAACTTTTATAATTTGAAGTACGAAATATCTCATTAAAAGCATGCTCAAGTGTTACATAAGGATCACTATTGACATCCATGAATAATGCCCCTGAAAAAGATTCACTATATTCGAGACAAAATGTGTCATTGTCAATATCAACAAGTTCTAGTACATCGGTAAGTAGTAAAAAGTGTTTATTTATGCTCTGACTAATAACACCATATAAATTGTTTCCATAAACTAAGATCTGGTTCATAATGGATGTGTCCCAAATATTAACTCATTTAATTTCATTATAAACAATAGAACACAGTGACATAGCAACACATTGTTTTCCAGCATTGGACCTAAACATTGACTGATTACTTTGATGAAATTCAGCATGAACTGTAAATGTATGGTCAACTATTTCATTAATACTTCTAGGACCTTGATTTTCCTCGTCATCATTCAAGGGTCTTGATAGTAATGGTATATTAACCATATTAAAACAGTCAAGTTTGTTTTGTGGATTGTTGGTATAAATCGCTCGCCTGCAAGTTGGCACTGAGTTCAGTTGTAGGATAACCCACACAATGTCAATGGCAAGGTTCAATTTTATATACCCGCACAATGGCAAGGTTCAATTTTATATACCTGCACAATGGCAAGGTTCAATTTTGTATACCTGCACAATGGCAAGGCTCAATTTTATATACCTGCACAATAGCAAGGTTTAATTTTGTATACCTGCGCAACGGCAAGGTTGATTTCAATGATTTGATTTTTGAATATTTTTAATACGTGGACCTCACGTGGATGCCTGATCTACGATCAGTGTAAGCAACAATGGCTTCAATAATTTTGTATGCCTGCACAACGGCAAGGTTGATTTCAATGATTTGATTTCTGAATATTCAGTTTGATACGTGGACCTCACGTGGATGCCTGATCTAAGATCAGTGTAAGCAACAATGGCTTCAATACAGAATATAACACGCAAAATGAAACTTGATCAAAATACTTTGACCAGAGTAGACCAATGGCTTCAATACAGAATATAACACGCAAAATGAAACTTGATCAAAATACTTTGACCAGAGTAGACCAAAATAGCGAAGGCAAAATCAAACAACAAATGAAAATACGTAGAAAACAATTAACTTACCTTTACCTATCTTCAAAATTTCTAAAAGTATTGGGTGCCACAGGTTCTTCCACGCTCGTAGGGAGGATAATGAGGGATACACGAGGATTCAACTAAAACTTTCATGACCCCCCCCCCCCACACACACACAATTACTCCTCAAACTCTGGTAACCCCCCTCCCAAAAAAACAACCTATGATTTCACCACCCCACCCAAACCATAAAAAAATGACACTCCCTTAATACATATTTATCCAATGAATTTCCATAATACGGCAATGTCTCCAAAGTCCAAAACAACTGTGAAGCACATTAGACATTGCTTGTATTTTAAAAGCACATTAGACATTGCTTGTATTTTAAATTAACCCATTAAGCGCCAGCGCTCTCCCCTTGACGAGTAAAATCGTCTGGCGTTAGACAGAGTAAAATACTAAAGTAGGGTGCATCAGGGTGCAATGCGACTCAGTGGGTTAAAAAGGTCAAAATATGGGGGGGGGGGTCAATGGGGGTATACAAATCCACCGAAATTTGAAGCAAAATCTGCAATCCGACAATGGTCATGTCTAAATTTGAATCTGCTAAAAGCTCTACTATGAAGTCACAATCCAGGATCCGAACTAAATTGCAAGCTACATCCACAATCTGAGCCAAAATATTAGATAAATCCGCAATCCACTGTATTAATAAGATCTGCAAATCTGTGTAAAATATTCGCTAAATTTTTTCTGTGAAATCCGACGATCCGAAAACCTATTTACCCCCTCCAAATATTGCCAAAACTAAAACTTTCATCCCCCCTCAATTACTCCTCAAACCCTGGTGACCCCCCCCCCAAAAAACAAACAATCTATAATTTTACCATGCCCAACCATAATACAGCAGAGAAACATGATGGTATCTCCAAAGTTCAAAACAACTGTGAAGCACATTACACAATGATTGTATAAACCTGTATCTACTCGCACTACTGTATACACAAAGCCATACACACATTTGAGTGCACCATAACTCCACAACACCCTCTACAGCACCAGGGAATATTACAATGGCAAGGTCCCTAGCCTTGGCACATCCCCATTCGCCACACAAATAAATAAACTAAAAGTACATCTTGACTCCTTGTATAAATATAAAGACAATCAATGGGCTTATTAGAACTGCAAGTTCATGAAATCATATACATATAACATATTTGTTTCAATACTTCTATATCGAACACTAAACAGCAAATCTAAATATAAATGCCTCCTTGGCTCATCGCCATACAAATAGATAAACTAAAAGTACATCTTGACTCCTTGTATAAATATAAAGACAATCAGTGGGCTTATTAGAACTGCAAATTCATGAAATCATATTGGTTTCAATGCCTCTATATCGAACACTAAACAGCAAATCTAAATATAAATGCCTTCATGTATATCATTAGAATTCAGAAAGAAATAAAGCTATCCTTAATACCGGAAATATTCAAAATATTGTCGATTGTTTGCATCGTGAAAATCCAACATACTGCATGTATTAAATAACAAGGTATTAAACTGAAATCCTGAGAAGAATCATGCGAGCGCAATACAAAATAAATAAAATCGAATCAAATCGAATAAAAACAAAGAGTCGTCGAATATAAAGACGATATCAGTGGGCTATTTAATAGAACTGCAAATTATGAAATCATGTTGGTTTCAAATATACCTCTATATCGAATAGTTAAAAACAGCAAATCTAAATATAAATGCGTTCATCTACCCTTACCTGAATTATTGAAAATATTGTCGATCTTTTGCATCGCTAAAATCAACATACTGCATGTAAATAAGCTCGTACTAAACTGTAATCCTGAGAAGAATCCTTGAGAAGAATCATGCGAGCGCATACAAATCAAAATCGAATAAAAACAAAGAGTCGTCGAATGCTCGAGTTGACGACAATTTCCGAAAAATCTTGACATCCGACGGACTGACATGGATTGAGTATGTTTCCCCAATATAACTCGGCCGGGGACTGGGCACGAAAAAGCAAGAAACGTCAAGAATAGGGAGCTGCCTCGCTACGCTCGGCAGCAATTAAAAATATGTAAACAAGGAAATCTCTATCACATATAGAGATACGATACGACACGTTTATCATTTTTCTTTGCTTTTTCCTCATGAATTATTGACTTTTTGAAGCAGTCACAACACAGATCTTTTATCCTTTAAAAGGCTCCTGAACCACTAACAGTTGAGCGTGTTTTGAAATGTTAATATTCTTTATAAAATCATCGTCCAACTTTATAGCTGCAATGCCAAGTAATGTAGCCTCAACAAATATCAAGACAACTATAAGAAATATTCGATCCCTGCTCGTGCTGGCATCAGATGATCAGAGCTATTAAAATAGCATGTGGCAAGCTTTAATAATTTGCCGATATAAATGTATAATTGAAACTCAAACTTTTCCGTATCCCGTAGGAAGAATCGCGATAACCGGCGTCTTCACCACGTGGTCCACGTAGCAAATTAATAGACTTTCTCTGTTCTGGTTTCAACTGAATTTCGAAGCCTAAATACTTGAAATATAAGAAAGAGTTTCCTCCAAAGCATTAACAGGGATATTTTTTCATGAGAAATATACGGCTATCGCTATTCGATACGCGAGCAAAATTGTTGTTGACATTTGAGTTACGTAATTACTTCCGTTAACGAGATTAACCGATGGGAAGCCACAGATAGGTATCAGGAACGTCGAGAGAAATTCTTGCACCCGACACAAACATTTCTCTGGGGCCCCTATGACGTCATTATTTTTGAAATGTAAGAAAGGGAACACCCCTCTGTGAGCATCCCTCTGCAGAGTTTCAGGTATGCAACAAGCTTGTTAAAATAATATCACATATCAGTGTTATAATGGTTCGTTTGTTTTTAGATCATCTCTTGTTCCTGTGTTTTCGTTTGGCGAAAATGACATTTTCAAACAAGTCAGTAATCCTCGAGGATCTCGCCTGCGAGAGATACAAGTGAAAATTCAAAAGACTATTGCATTTGCTCCTGTTCTGTTTTATGGCCGAGGAGTATTTCAGTACAGTTTTGGTCTGCTACCACACAGAAAACCAATATATACAGTTGGTAAGTTCTTCATTATTTAATGCTGACATTTGCATGGTCGCCATTGATATGTAACAAAATAACAATATCAAGTGCAAGAAATTTTGAAAGTTCACGTAACTATGATAACAAGGCTACTATTAAAAGCTGCCCTATATGTTGTATATCCGGTAAAACATGTAATATATTGTGGGTATATGACTTTTCAACGACTATCAAAATAGCACGTGTTGCGAATCAATGTAAGTGATACACGCAGTCAGATTTAGTTGAAAAACATAGTGTGTATACACGGAATAATAAAACAAAGTTTTGGATTCTCTGTTATGGTGTAATTATTCTCATGGCACAAAAGAACATGTGGGAACGAGGTAACATAATATATATGAAAAATTGTATAGAACGGCCACAAATTCCAATCGTACCCTTCGAAACCACTTAGGAGGTAGAAAACGTCTTGTTTTATTGTCTAAAAACATATATCTTGCCGTATCACTCACTTAAAGCCCAGGTCACACTAGACAACGATAACGATACGATCAATTAACTTGTGAACACGCGATTATTGGTCAAAAAAATTATGTTGGTGTCCACACTACAACGAAAACGATAAAATTCTCGTTTGACGATAACGATTTTATATCGCTCACCCAAGCGATTTTTTTTCAGTCGGACGATTACGATAAATTTTCTGAACAATCAGCGCGCGTATAGAAGTTATCGTATCATTATTGTTGTGCATGTAGTGTGACCGGGCCTTATCAAGATATTCACATGGAGTTTTCAGTTCACCAAGCACCAGAAATCCGTCCACAAAGACTGGGTGCCCTGTTGAATTTCTTCTTCGCTCAAATCACTCTTTTTGTTGAAAATGTGCCTATAATTAACCATACCAATCGAAATGTTTAAAAGGCCAAGAAATTTGATCTGTATTTCCTGTTTTCGGCACTGTATTTCCTGTTTTCTGTACTGTATTTCCTCAAATTGCACTGCTATAAGCGTATCAGAATTTAGAATTATTTTCATGTATAGTATTTACAATGCTCTTTATTTTGCAAATGCAGTTGGTGCTCCGGTCGAAGTAGAAAAGAACACAACACCAAGTCAAGAAGAATTGGATGAATTACACACACGATACATCGATGCACTGGTGCAGCTTTTTGAAGACAACAAGGAAAAATACGGTGTGCCAAAAGAAGCCAAGCTGCAATTTGTTTGAAATGCAAAACGGAAACATTCATCGCATCAACAGCCTGCACCTGATTAAACTAGATAAGTAAATTATAAGCGTGATCAAATAGAATCAAGCATAATATTATTCGAACTTCGTCTTTGACGCAGATAGAGTAGATGAATAGACGTATTACACGTATAGATTTCTTTAATTCGATGTATCAATAGTGTTCAAATATAGCAATAATCAATCGACAATCAAATGAGTTCGAATTTGGTGTCCTCTTGTTCCTCAAGTAGCGTCAAGTAATCTTTTCTTCGTTTTCCAATATAGCGTTGGTAACTGATCCTTACTGATCGATCGTACTGTTCAATCTGATCTGTCACGCAAGCCCCCTTTGCATGTGACGTAACAAATACATGCCCAGAGGCTTGAGTGACGTTTCAAACTAACATTCCGGCCCCTTAAAGGCGTACAGTGTACTAGTGCCTTTATAAACTAATAACAAACTGTTTGAAACAAAACTCATGCATAACAATAATATAGCGTCATATTAATGTGTAAATGTTATCTTATACTCAACTTGTCTTCGTTGTTCACTGCGTTCCTTCCCACACGACGATCTTGCAGATTGGTCTTTCCAACACGGATGTAGAGGTCTTCAACTTCACACTTCGAACATGTCCGTCACTTCTGTTACGATGAACTTCGATCACACGAGCCAACGGCCACGAACTACGCGGTGTATTCTCTTGAAGTAGAAGCACGACGTCGCCGACTTCTACGTTCTTTCTCGGTTGATTCCACTTTTGTCGTTCTTGCAATATCGGAAGATACTCCTTCAGCCATCTCCGCCAGAACACGTCTGCCATATACTGTACTTGTCGCCATCTGCGCCGCGTGTGCAAATCTTCCTTCACGAATTTGCCGGGTGGAAGTGGGGGACCTGCACGTAATAGCAGCAGGTGGTTCGGGGTTAGAGCTTCGCTGTCTCTCGGGTCATCGGAAACTTTCGTTAATGGTCGTCCATTTATGATAGCTTCAACTTCGCACATCAACGTATGAAGGCTTTCATCGTTCAGAGTCTGTTCATGAAGCAGCGCTCTCATCACCTTCCTCACTGTATGGATGCATCGCTCCAAAACGCTGCCGTGATGGGATGCAGTCGGTGGGTTAAAAATCCACTTGATATTCTTCAGTAATAGAACTTGATGTATCTTATCTTGGTTCCATTCTTTAATGCAACTTCGCAATTCTTTCTCTCCGCTTACAAAATTTCCTCCATTATCTGATCTGATTTCTTCTGGATTTCCACGTCGGGCTACGAATCGTCTTAGAGCGTTCAAAAATGAATCAGTGTCAAGACTCGATGCTACTTCGATGTGAATTGCACGTGTCGTCAGGCAAGTAAATATCACACCGTATCTTTTAACTAAACTTCGCCCGCGTCGTACATTGAATGGTCCGAAACAGTCCACACCAGTGAAAGTAAATGGTGGTTTTGAGGGGGTTACTCGACTCTTCGGAAGATCAGCCATTTTCTGCTCTGCCACCGGTGATTGTCTGCGCCTGCAGTCGAAACAATCGTTGACCACCCTTCGAACTAGGAGTCGGCCTTTGACTATCCAAAACTTCTGTCGTGTTAAGGATAGAACATATTCTAGACCTGAGTGTCCAGATAATTGATGATAGTGACGAGCAATTAGAGTAGCCACATGGTGCTGCTTAGGTAGAATGACTTGGTGCTTGGCTGTATTCTCAAGTGGTGCATGACGTAATTTGCCTCCAACACACAAGAGATCATCGATGATTTCTGGACTTTCACGTTCCCATTGTTTTGTTTCAATACGTCAGTTCGTCTCGAAAACTGGTCATTTGCACGATGTTGAGGATGAACCTTTCAGCGTTCTCCACTTCGTCAAGCTTTAACGGTACCAGTTTTTCTTTCTTTTCTTTTGACATGTTGATTATTTCGCCACTCTTTCGCTTTCGTACGGTTTCCCGAAGTTGTTTCACGTAGCGGATTGCCCATGCAATTGATTTCCTGAGCTGTTTCCAGGAAGAGAATTTCTCGAATCGGGAACACATATCGTTGGCAGATTCATCATCATCAGATGAGACGCTGGTAGATGTCGTTAAGGTTGTTGTGGCGTTTCTTCTTACTTCTGGATCGCATTCAGGAATATCAGACTTCATTTCTTCTTGGTTTGGCCAGTGTTCGCGGGATTTCCAGAGGAATTAGTCCTGTCCTTTCAACCAACGTTCGTCCTCCAATAGTTCCTTTGCTGTTAATCCTCGAGAAGCGTCATCTGCCGGATTTGAACTGGTATTTACGTATTTCCATTGAGACAATTCAGTCGCATCTTGAATCTTTGATACTCTATTGGCTACGAAGGTTTGGAATCTTGTGCTCTCGTTGCCAATGTATTTCAAAACGCAGGTGCTGTCCGTCCAGAATACGGATTCATCAACTTTCATGTCGAGCTCTCCTTTCATCATCTTATTGAGCCTTGTCGCAACTACGGCCGCAGACAGTTCCAATCTGGGGATCGTCATAGCTTTCAACGGTGCTAATCGAGACTTTCCAATCAATAAACAACAATGGATGTCTCCTCGTTGGTTGAGTATTCGTAGATATGTGACAGCTCCATAGCCTTTCTGGGAAGCATCGGAGAATGTATGCAGCTCGCATGAAGTGATCTCACCGAAATCAGTAGGTTTGAAACAACGGTCGATAACGATTCTTTCAAGTTTGGGTAGCATGCTTAGCCAATTCTGCCATCGATGGAGTGCATCTTCAGAAATTTGCTCGTCCCATCCTAAGTTGCTTCGACAAAGGTCTTGTAATATGGTCTTAGCCAAAAGGACAAATGGTGAGACAAATCCGAGGGGATCGTAGATGGAACTCACCACGGAGAGAATGCCTCGTCTGGTTGCTGGTTGATCCTTGATGGTTATCTTGTAGCCAAACTTATCAGAGACGATATCCCAACGAACACCGAGTGCTCGTTCTACGTGAACTTTGCTAACATCCAGGTCTTTCACCATAGCTGCTCGTTCACTTTCTGGTAAGGATTCTAACGCCTTTCGCGAGTTTGACGTCCACTTCGTTAAACGAAAGCCGCCTTTCTGCAGAAGTTCGTAGAGATTGCTTGCGAGATTGATACCCGTTTCTTCATCTTCAACCGATTTCAAGCAATCGTCAACGTAAAAGTTTCTTTCTAAAGTGTTTATTGTCTCCGCGTCGAAATTCTCTCGATTACCTTCGGCAGTTCTTTTTAGTGCAAAATTGGCGTAGCTGGGAGATGAGATACCGCCAAAAAGATGAACTGTCATCTGGAATTCTTCTGGGTTAATACATGTGTCACCGTTCGGCCACCACAGGAAACGTAGCACATCGCAATCTTTGAGTGGAGTTCGCACTTGGTGGAACATGGCTTCAATATCGGCCATGAAAGCCACAGGACTTTGTCGGAATCTGGTCAAAACACCCGTCAATGAGTTCGTCAAATCCGGCCCCTGTAAGAGCTCATCATTCAGAGAAGTACCTTCGAATTTCGCAGGACAATCAAACACGACTCTTGTTTTGCCTGGCTTCTGAGGGTGAAACACTGGGTGGTGAGGTAGACACCAAACGTTGCCATTTTTAGGAGTGAGTCGTTCTTCTGGTATCTTTCTTGCGTAGCCTTTCTTCACGAGATCGTCAATATAATTGCTGTAATTCTTCAGTTGTTGAGGATCTTTGTCTAACCGTTTCTTTAGGAACTTCAGACGACGTTCTGCCATTGCTCGGTTATTTGGTAATTTGGGGGTGGTCTTTTTCCAGGGTAATGCGCATGGGCGTACCAGAAGGAAAAAATTAGGGGGGGCGGAAATAAATTTGCCCGACTTTTTCGGATTGTGCCCGACCAGTGGCGAAAAAATTTTTCCGGAACAAATTAATTTTGGCGACCCCCCATCAAAAAATTGACAGACAAAATTGACCACAAAATTGACAGAATTTCCCACAAAATTGACCGAATTTGTCCCATTTATTTTTACAATAAGCCAATATTGCCCGACTGTGAAGCGAATATTGCCCGACTGGCTTTGTTTGCCAAACAAACTGGGGGGCTGCCGTCCAATAATGTAGGTTACATTTGCCTAAAAATGATTTCAAAATTTCAACATTCTGTCCACAATGGTTTTCTATAGGCAGAAGTAAGAAAAACTCGATTTTCACCATGTTCCACCGAAGGGATTTTTTTTTATTTTTAGTATGTTAATCAGGACACCTTCCCTCACATTTTACCACTGTAAAAAAAGTCTATTGCAATTTCTTTGACCTCTGGTCACAGATTGACTGGACTAATTCGTTCATTACGTGTAGTGCTCGTTGGTCCTCTCTTGATAGCGTAGTTTTGTCTGTATCTTGCGTTTCAGCGAATTCCATGTTGCAAAATTCTTTAACTGACTGGTTTTCCAGATTGGCATCGGTAACAAATACATGCCCAGAGGCTTGAGTGACGTTTCAAACTAACAATATATAGGACAACGACAAGTTAGGATGGGGATGTGGACACACAAAAAATATTATAAAAGTGACAAGTAAGTCATATCTCCAGATATGACTTACTTGTCACTTTTATAATATTTTTGTGTGTCCCACATCCGCATCCTAACTTGTCCTTATATAACTAGAAATACATGCATGCAGTAACCCCTCGCCGATATTTTCCAAACATTAAATTAACATGAAGTATTCAGAAATGGCCGACACTGAACGCAGGCTCGCGCTCAAGTGTGCCATGACAACACGATATCTCATCGATATCGATTTTTGTACGTACAAAACTGCAAAATAGTTGAAAGATTCGTACTTTTAACTATACAACAATAAATTTCCGAAATATACACTGTAGTTATAATATTTTGCATTTTGTGAGCTTTGATTTAATGTAAAATTTAACATGAAACGCTTCGTGAAATTTTTGAAATGTTTATTCAACTAAACTACATTTGCCGATAAACTGTTTTACACACAAACCAAATTGTTAGGTAATTTTAGTTCAGTCTTCAAATCAATTTGTTCAAATTAAACGGTAATTTATGAAACTTAGAGCTTCGTTGAAAAGGAAAACAGTTCATGTTTTTAGGCAAAAAGTTAAAGCAACAAAATTCAAAGCAAACTTGCCGTATATTTCACGATTTCCCATAGCAAATCAATTCTTCTCATTTCTTCAAACAAAATTGCTTCAAGCTTGTTGTATATGAAACGATTTTCCAAATATATGTAGTTTTAAAATTGAAATCTTGCTTATCCCACTCCCACAAGCAATCAGCCATATTTTTTAGATCAGTGAGGATGACCACCCACTCAAGTTCCTGGGTCACGCCCGCGATATTTGATGAACTTTAGACTTCGCTAATGCTATCGTTTCCCCAGGTGTAAATAGCCGGGGGAAATTAGTACCCTCGCACGGCGCTTCGCCGTCGGCTCGGGGAATATCTGGATGTGTAGCTCCTACATTTGCTACGCTGTGCTGATGAGCTCCAACAGGGCGAAACAGCTGTCCACAGCTGCTAATGTGAGCAGGACACACTAAAGTCATAGTCCGTTCAAGGCTCTTTACGCTGCTTCAAAACTACGACATGTAGTACGCATGCGTATTCGCGATATGACTTACTTGATATGACTTACTTAGTGTATATATATATATATATATATATATATATATATATATATATATATATATATATATATATATATATATATATATATATATGTATATATACAGGGTGTATAAAAAAAACCTGATATATATATATATATATGTTTAAAGATTTGTAATCCAGGCATATTATAATTAATTAAAGTTCTCCGGATTGAAATATACTTTTATTGAGCTTACTAACAATAACGATATTAAAACATGGAACAGATACGTAGACGACGTCCTTGCTACAGTTAAGAAAGACAAGACTGACGACATTTTACATACTATAAACAATACTACAGAAAATATAAAATTCACGAAAGAAGAAGAAGATAACAACCAACTTGCTTTCCTTGACATTTTGTTGACAAGAACTGATGACGGCACGATTAACACACAGGTCTACCGTAAGAAAACGCACACTGACCAAATACTGAATTTTAACAGCAACCACCCTACTCAACACAAAATAAGCTGTATAAGAAGCTTATTCAACCGAATAGATACGCACTGTAAGACAGAACAAGCTAAACAAACAGAACGCAAATATCTATACTCGACTTTCATGAAAAACAACTACCCTAGGAACTTCATTAACAAAATACTAACAAACATTACCAGAAATGTGGGTCAAGATGGTGGACATGACAAAAAATTACGCAACAAAATGGCGTCCGATAATGCTAGGATTAGTATAGGCATATAAGAACTTTCTAAAATATCGCATCAATGAGTCGCAAATCACGCTTACTTGGCATCGTTTCACATGCTATGCTGATTCAGGAATCTATTAATTTTAACAACTATTTCTAGAATAAAATACACTCACTTCCCGAGCTCATTATTGATATCACATTCACCAGCATAATAACTCCTTATATTGCATGTGAATCTGACAATACACGCCACAAACGTAGACTGGTGGACGGAAATATATTTCATTCTATTTAGTCAGTTCGAATAATATATTAGATTGAACAAAGATAAAAGCGTATATAACAAGTATAAAATAAAACATTAACATGCATATAAACTTAATTATATATATTCGAAGTGGAGGATACTATATATGTATATTTACAGTAAAGAAAGTGATAATATATTTTAAACCATTATACATCCATTGTTGAATATATAATGATTTTTTATTTTAATTTGAAAAGTACTATAAGAGAAAATAGATTTGTATTTAGATGCTATGTTATTCCAAACACCAACTCCTTTGTTAGAAAGAGTATGGATTACATAATTCGTTCTTTTATAAGTCTTGTGAAGCTTAGTTGCATTCCTTGTGCCATGGTCATGTATTTTATTATTGGGTATGAAATAATTTACGAATGTTTCTGGTAAATTCTTCAAATTATGATATCGAAACATAAATAAACTTGTTAGGTATTGATTCAATTTATAAATGCTTAGTATTTTTAACTCCTTAAATATTGGTTCGGTATGTTCAAAGTAAGAATTAAACGTCATTAGACGAATAATCTTTTTCTGAATATTTACTAATTTTTGTGTTCTCTTTTTGTATGTGTTACCCCATATTAGATTACCGTAAATAAGATATGGATAGACTAATGCATAATAAATTAATTTAAGAGCTTTCAAGTTTATGAAATGTCGGATCCTGACAATGACTGCTGTTGATTTTATAATTTTCTTTGATATTTGCTCTAGATGATCATTCCATGTCAAACATTCATCAACAACAATACTCAAAAATGTTGTCTTTCTAACTTGCTCAATAATTTTATTATTTAAATAAATTGTTATATTATGTTCTTGTTTTTTCCTTCTCGAGGACCGAAATACAATAAACTTTGTTTTTTCTGTATTTATAGATAGTTTATTAATATTTAACCAAACAGCTATTTTATTTATTTCCTCTTGTATTGTTTGGTTTAATGTTTTAAGGCAAGCGTGACTATAAAATATGGTTGTGTCATCAGCAAATAATATATTTGAAATAATATTGCTACAATTCTGGATATCATTTATATACAAAAGAAATAACAAAGGTCCCAGTACTGATCCTTGAGGAACACCAATTGTAATTGTCATATCTTTTGATTTTATTTGGTTAAACTTTACAATTTGCTTTCTGTTCTTTAAATAATTTTCAAACCAGTCTTTGGATATACCCCTTATACCATAATATTCCAGTTTTTTAATGAGAATCTTGTGATTAATCGTATCAAATGCTTTTGATAAATCAAGGAAAATACCAATAGTGTATTTCCCCTGATCTATTGCTCTTGTAATTTTATCAACGAGCTCAATAATCGCATGCTCTGTTGACCTGCCTTTTCTAAACCCATATTGATTTGTTGATAAAACTTTATTTTTTTCAATGAATTTCATTAATCTTTTGCACATTAGTTTTTCCAATAATTTTGAAAAACAAGAAAGAACTGATATTGGTCAATAGTTTGTAAATTTATTATTTTCATTTGCTTTGTAAACCGGAGTTACTACAGCAACTTTTAATTTGTCAGGAATAATTCCATTGAGAAATGTTAAATTGAAAATATGTGTCAATGGTTTAGAAACTTCCTTTGCATGTGATTTAACTATTTGAATGCTAATATCGTCGTGTCCGGGACTTTTATTTGGATTCATACTATTTATTTCAATTACTAATTCATTTTCAGTAATCGGATCAAGAAACATACTGTTGGGATAATTACTAGTGAGGTAATTATCAAAAGTCATGCCTGGGTTCTCTTTAATTTTTTTTGCTAGATTTGGTCCAACATTGATAAAGTATTCATTGAATCCATTAGCTATTTTCTTTGGATCATCTATTATATCCACGGAATTGTTTCCAACAAAAGATTTTGGCATTTCCTTCTTTTTCCTATTTTTATTAAGAGCTTTATTTAAGGTATACCATATCATCTTTGTATCGTTTTTATATTTTATTAGTTGCTCTTCATAATACAGTTTCTTTGACACTTTTATTATACGATTTAATTTATTTTTATATCTTTTATACGTATTTTCATTCCTTTTATTCGAGTTTAGTAAGTATGCCTTGTAAAGTTTATGTTTCCTATTTACTGATTTTAAGATGGAGTATGTCATCCATGGGCTCTTATTATCAATCTTTTCTTTAATCAATTTTACTGGAAAGCTTGTTTCATAAGCTTCTGCAAAAGATTGGGAAAATTTGTCAAAAGCCTCTTCAGGATTATTATTATCAATTACATTGTCCCATGATATATTTTTTATTGTATTTGTGAAAGATTTAATATTTGCGTTATTAATTACTCGTTTATATTTTGAGGTTTTGGTCACTTTTTTTCTTATATTAAAACTATTACTATCCATATTACATATATGTACTATTGGCAAATGATCTGAGATGTCGCTAAAAATAATTCCGTTGAGACTAGAATCAATATTGTCAATGTTGTTGGTGAAAATATTGTCAATAAGTGTTGCAGTGTGAGCAGTTATTCTTGTTGCCTTTGTTATGAGTGGATAATAAGAAGATGTGAAAAGTTGTTCGGTAAATTGGCCTGCATAATCACAAGAATCCGATTTAAGTAGATCAATATTAAAGTCCCCCATAAGATAGCCAATTTTATTTTCTTTATCGATTTTCTCTAATATTCTTTTCATTGAGTTTTCAAATGGGTGGTGGCCTATAGATTGTTCCTACAATCATATTCTTACCTTTAGATGTACATATTTCGATAAAAGAGGTTTCAATTCCGTTTTCTACGTTTATACTTATGTCATTTCGAGTTTTATATTGCAATTGTTTCGAGACATACATGCCTACCCCTCCACCTCTTTTATTTTCTCTATTTGATCCTATATAATCATAGTCTGGTAAATTAAAATTGTCTTTGTTTATATCATTCAACCATGTTTCGGTTAATCCTATAATTTGAAACGATTTATTTAATGACGTTACTAAATCTTTCAACTTTTCAAATTTATTTGTTATACTTCTTATATTTAAATGTAGTAGCACAAAATTATTTTTGTTATTAATTTCTTTAGTTTCTTCATTAGAATCATTTGGTAAATAATAATCGCAGTTAACTTTATTCACCTCAAAAGACATGTCAAGGTTGACATTGTTTTCACTTAAGGCTATATCATTATTTTTTTTAAATGGATTGAATTTCAATTGGTTTAGTCTATCCATATCAATTTGACAGAATCTGTTTTCCAAATCGTGGTTTATAAGATTAAATTCATTGTTGGAGAGTGAATGAAATGGCAAGGAGTCAACAGTGTTACTACCAGACATAACTAAATATTAAAGTTACTGAACTGAGGCAATATAATAAAAGCATACATACTAGTACTATAGTGCACTGAAATATGATATCTTAGCATCATGTCGGCTTGTAAAATACTTGTCCTTCGATTATGAGTTTGTCCCTTACAAGTTTTGCCTTCTTTCCCGCTTCCCTGGCTTTTTTCAACTCTGGATATAATTCCCTACGTATCTTAACAATTTCGTCAGGAAATTGTTCTCTGATTGCTATGTTTGAACCCCTTAATTTCTTTGCGTTGAGACGAATATTCTCCCGATCTTGATAGAAATTAAATTTCGCAATAATTGGTCGCGGCTTTTCCGCTGCTTGTTTCTGTCTACCCAATCTGTGTGATCTATCAATCTTGATTTTCTTGGATGCGTCTTCTAAGTAACTTATGGATCATATTTGTGGTATCTTCAAGTAACTTATGGATCATATTTGTGGTATCTTCGTCTTTAGATTCGGGAATGTTATAAAAAATCAGATTATCACGCATTGACCTTGATTTAAGGTCAATGACGCTCTTGTTTAGAATTTCGTTCTCTTTCTCTAGTTTCTCGATTCGCTCTTTTGTTGTTTCATCAGTTTTCTTTCGAGTTTCGTTGTCTTTCTTAAGTTCTCTTATTTCTGCGTGTGCGAATTCAATTGATTCCTTCACACTCTTTAAATCGCTTTCTACCGTCTTTACTCTCGTGTCAATGGAATCCAATTTCTCAAGTTTCTTCATCATAGCCTTCATCATATCATGGATACTTTTTAAATTTATAGTTTCTCCGTCCTCAGATTGATCTATGATGTTCTCCTCACTGTTAGCTTTTGAAAGTTTGCTTCGAACTGGTTTTGTGGGCATACTAGTGCTAGATATATTCAAGGATTGCGCAGTGCGCTTACCAGCCTGCTTCTTCGACGCCATCTTACCCTTCAGGGTAAAAATCTTCGACTAAAGGACGTTCAGAATGACAATTCTGCCATTATAAGCCAAGAGTCCTTCTGCTACTGAAGAATGATTTGATCGAACAGAATACACATCATGGAGATCACATGTGATGTTACTAGATTTTGTTGGCCAACCATCACCTGTGAATTGCATGGCTTCTTGTATCACCAAATCATTATCAGCCGCCTCTCTGATCTCATCAAGACAAACATCCAATACTGGCCAAGATTGTGTAACTTCGTTAACATGCATTCTAACTTCTTCTATTGTTCGCTTATCTTTTTCGTCACAAGTAGGCAACAGATGCCTCGAGAGGGTATCAGCGATGACCAGCTCTTTCCTGGGTACGTGCTGTGCTTTCGGGTTATATCTCATCATTCTCATAATCAATCGTTGACATCTTATCAGGATGGGATGTAGGTTGGATCCATTGATCAATGGTACCAGCAGCTTATGATCAGCGAGCAGCTTGAACTGCTGTAGACCTCAAAGGTATCTGTTGAATTTTGCACATGCCCAAACGGAAGCTAAGCACCCCCTTTTCGATCTGAGTATACCAACCCTCAGCAGGCAGGAGTGCATGGGACACGAAAGCAATTGGTTTTAATCGATTGTTCTCTTCTTGCAAGATAACAGCTCCAATTCCAACTATTGGCATCAACAGATACAGTGATAGGTTTTCGAGGGTCATTAAATGTTGATGTCATTGCATTTATGAGGACTTGTTTGACATCGACAAATGACTTCTCTTGCACTGTCCCCACAACCACTGGACATCTTTCTTCAAAAGGTTATTCATTTACTTCATTATTATTGCCAAATTTGGAATGAACATCCCGATGTAATTGATCTTTCCCCGGATCTGCTGTAGCTCATGGATGCTGGTAGATGCAGACATTTCAACACTAACTTTTACCTTGTCTGGATCAGGGTGTACACATTCTTTGCTGAACTTCTGTCCCAAGAAGGTAACTATGGGTTTCCACTACACACACGTCTTCAGGTTCAGCTTAATACCAGCCTCTTGAATAGTGCCAAGGACTTTCCTCAACTTCTCGACATGCTCTTCCATGGTACGACCAGCAACCGGAATGTCATCTTGAGATGCTTCACCTCCTTCAAGCCTTCCAACGTCTCTGTCATCCGGCACTGAAAGATCTCACTTGCTGAGGAAATTCCAAATGGAAGATGCTTAAAGCAGAATCTCCCATATGGTGTGATGAATGTCATTAACTTTGGTGCTGTCTGAAACAACTCCATGTGGTAATATCCCAATGTAAGGCCAAGGTGAGTGAAGACTGTGGCACCATTTAATTTTGTCACCATTTAATTTTGTCACCATGTCCTCTAATGTTGGCAACATGTATCTTTCACATCAAACTTTCCTGCTCAGCTGTTAAAGATTGATGCAGATCCTTACATCGCTGTTTTGTTTTGGAACTACCACCATCGGACAGCATCAATCAGTGGGCTCAATGACCTTCTCAATAACACCAGCTTCTTCCATACATTTTAATTCTTGCTTTACTTTTGGCATGAGAGGTATTGGGACTCTTTGGGCGGTATTACAATGACATGGGATAGCACCTTCTCTCAGTTGTATTTTAACAGGCCCACCCTTTATTAATCCTATTTGTTTTCCTCCTTGAATGTTCAATTTAATCAAGTTCATCTTCTCTGCCATAGTTCTGCAATGTATATTGTTCACAGAATCAGTAACATAAAGATGAAAATGTTCCTGTACACTTTAATACTCTGTTGCCTCCTTTGAGTCTGTGACTTGTTGGCCACAAAGCTGGAGCGTCATGCATATTCTCGTAGGTACTCAGTGACATTACCGATACGTCAGCACCAGAATCTAACTCAAACTTCATGTTATGACCATTAACTGGCAGATCAACGAGCCATCTTCTTGGGTTGTTCCGATGACCGAGCTTTCGGTCTCCTGCATATATCTGAAACTAACTTGGGTTAACTGCTTCATTTTGCAACATCTCGTGTAGTGACCAATCTTGTCGCATTTATTACGTTTAGCGTTTTTAGCAGAGCACAAGGACCCATGACTTAACCCTCACCGAGAACATCCTCACCGTTTTGTTTCTGCTTGGCATCAATTGTTGAAACTTTCCTTGTAGGTATAATTCTCTCGCTTTGGATATCTCTGTTTATTAATTTGTTCTATAGTTTTCGCCGTTTCATTTTGTATTGAAAGTTGATCTTGTATAATTTTGGATTGCCTCACCATCTTTACACTTTTGGCAAGTTTAAGTTTTTCTTTCAATTCCTTTATCACCAACTCCGACTATGAGTCTATTGTGAATACAGTCGTCTTTTGCTGTGCCGCAATATTTGGCCATCTTGTAAAGGCTTTGTATGTAAGTTTCAGCTGACTCGCCACTTTGTTGAGATTTTTGATAAAAATACTCGTTTGTGAATAATATTTCTCTGGTCTGTAACATCCAACAAATTTATTGAGTATGAATGCATGATGTTTTGCTTCTTTTTTGTCCAACACAAACTGCATAAACCTGTACTCGCTTTCATTCCCTATAGTGTACAGAAGTGTGCTAATTTGAATGACCTCGTCTTCTTTAAACAGTTTTGTTCCTATTCTCTCAAAACATTGCTTCCAATCTGGCCAGTGAGTATGGGTCGAATTGGGTTGAATTGTTTTATTTGACTCATCTTTGCTTCAGAACATCAGATTTTCTACAAATAACTATATTTTATATGACAGACGTTTATGCAGCCTAGGATGGCTTGGATATTTTAGGATTAGCTGCCACCATGTAATGAATTGTACTAAACAACAATCAGAAGGTGAGCAGCCTTCTGCCTTATATTTACATATGCTAATTATTCACATGTACAGTGACCCAAGACTATTGCATGACTTAACTATCATTATAATGCTTACTTGATAAATGGAGCACTTTGGCATGTACGCTGTAGATGGTAAATGCACAAGAAACATGTACACTGGTCTAGCATGAAACAAAGAAGGGAAGAAATTTGAACTGAGAGTGATCACTGACTTTTTTAATGGACCTTAATGAGCATGTCATTTACAGTGTTCCCGAGTTACCTGATACTGCTCAGTTATGTCCAGATTTAAAGTCTAGTGTATGTGGCAAAGATTATAAGTGTTCTATTCCCTAACGAAAACACAAAATATAATAAAATATAAACAGTGCCATACTTCTGTTCACTGTCTTCAGAGCTACATGTCAAATGCAGATGTCTGCGTCTTGGACATGTATGCTGAATGTCACTAATCTCTCAAATTCAGTATCTTCAAATTCACTATGCACTTCTATTTCTTCATACTCATCACCATCATCACTACTGCTATCACTTAAATCACACAAACATTGCCAAACATGTTCTGCCTGTTTCTGTTCGATAAAGTCAAATTTCTCTAACAAATGTCAATGCTAACAGAATGTAACTATCACAGTACAGATATAATAAACATGAGTCAAGTCAAAATACGACTGAATGTTATCTGGAGTGGGTGAGTGGGTGAAGAAATAACATCGATTCGATGTGGTGGACATTAATGTGTATTTGTAAATTTGCGAGTGTCATGGCAAATTGAAAATTACTTTTAACTGTTAAAAATACACCTTACTCTTATAGATTTTGGTATGACAAGGGAGACATGCCACAGTTTAGATGAACTGCACAGTCACACAATATTATGCTTGCCAAAGAGGTCTGTGCAAGTAGGCCAAAAGGAACTTCAGATTGGGTGAAAGTTGCAAACGTTTTGAGCGAAGCTTTTACCACGGATGAAAAAGTGGAATTAACAGGAAGAGCATGTCAAGAGTGCATGGACAGGCTGCTTGTAAAAACGGAGAAGATGATAAGAAAGCCTTGAAGAAGTGAGTATACTGTACTGTATACAATTATAATAGTGTAAATAATTGGTGTAAAAATCATGTTTGTTACCCACAGTATTATTATGCATACAGTACTGGAAATACATGCATGCAGTGACCCCTTGCCAATAGTTTCTATACATTAAACATGAAGTATTCAGAAATGACCAGCACTGAACGCAGGCTCGCGCTCAAGTGTTGCCATGACAACACGATATTAAATTTTTATTTTCATATATTTTGTACAAAACTGCAAAATAGTTGAAAGGTTCATACTTTTAACTATACAACAATAAATTTCCGAAATATATACTGTAGGTATATTATTTTGCATTTTGTGAGCTTTGATTTAATGTAAAATTTAACTTGAAACGCTTCGTAAAATGTTTTGAAATGTTCATTCAAGTAAACTACATTTTGCCGATAAACTGTTTTTACTTGACAAAACATGATAAGTTTAATACAAATAAAACAAATTGTTAGGTAATTTCAGTTCAGTCTTCAAATCAATTTGTTCGCCTTTACATTTTAAGATTTTTTCTCAAATTAAACGGTAATTTATGAAACTCAGAGCTTCTATAGTTCATATTTTTTATTACGTAAAAAGTTAAAGCAACAAAATTCGGCGTAAACATTTTAAAAATATTCAAAGCAAACTTGCCGTAGATTTCCCGATAAACCAATTCTCATTTCTTCAAACAAAATTGCTTCAAGCTTGTTGTATATGAAACGATTTTCCAAATATATGTCTTTTAAAATTGAAATCTTGCTTGCCATATTTTTGAGATAAGTGAGGATGACCACCCACTCAAGATCGTCGCTCGTTGGTTGGCGCCCGCGATGATTGATGAACTTTAGACTTCGCTAATGCTTTCGTTTCCCTGGGTGTAAATAGCCGGGGGGAATCAGTATTCGCACCGTCGGCTCTGGATTATACAACTATACAGGGTGTATAAAAAAAACTGAACAGATTTGAAATTGCTCTCAATTTCGCAAAACACCTATTTGTATCCGGTTTTTTATATATATAGCTTCTTTGGGTACTTATAATGTAGAATAATGAAAAAAATTTCTCGAACTCAAATTTTGTGAACCAGGGGGGTGTGTCTTTTCCAACAAACTAAAAATGGCTCGCGCACAAAATTTAAAAGTTGTAATCATATTTTGAGTTAATAGATGGAAAATTTGTCGGGTTTTTAATTACTGTACAAAATTTCAGACAATTTGGTTTAGTTTAAGCCCTTTAACTATTCACACGAAGTTACATTTTTCCTAAAAATCAGCTAGTTGCATGCTTAATTAATGCCTTTGCCTAATTTGCATTTGTTAGCAATATGCAAATTAGGTATTTTAGTTTGTTGGAAAAGACACCCCCTCCCCCTGGTCCACAAAATGTGAGTTTGAGAATTTTTTTTCATTATTCTACATTACAAGTACCCAAGAAGCTATATATATAAAAAACAGATACAAATAGGTGTTTTGCGAAATTGAGAGCAATTTCAAATCTGTTCAGTTTTTTTTTATACACCCTGTACATTATGATGCCATTATAGAAATATGTTTACCAACTGGAGTTGTTTTGCTCGGATATTGACGAAAAACATAAGATTTAAAATTATAAATTAATAGAAAGTTGATAGAAACAGACGGAGTTATGCAATTATCTTTCTATTTCTCATGCAGGCATTACATTATTAAAATAACAATTGAGATGCGACTTACCAGATGGGAAATACACAGAATAGTTTTCTGCTAATCTTGGAGATAAACCACTTAAATGTCACATGAAGAAATTTGTATGTAATGCAACATTCTTGTGGTTTAATCAAGTACCCATATTAATCACATCCATGATGCTGTGTGTGTTGATCCCCCGGCAGTTTTCGAGATATTGACCGTTGAAGTGACTATTGTCAACTTGACGTTCGCTAAAATGGCGTCTAATACCTTGGAAAGAAAATGTGCCATCAAAGATGATATTTTCAATGAATTTTTGTTAAAGTGTTAAAATATTATTTAGAATTCTGACTTAGGAGTTGTTTTAATATTGTTTTAGAATTTATATCTGTGCGATTTTCAAAGTTTTGTTTTTGGCCGACGCGACTGGATCCTGTACGTATTTCAAGACGAGCTGATCGCCTGATACTGGTGTTTTTGTGGCAAATCGAGCTGCGGAATCCTCAGCATGGAGGATTCCTTCACTTGTTTTAAAGCAATAAAATAAGTTTTTATGTATCATATAACAAATTAAGTGGCATGTTATTGTGGGGTCTTACCCTGCTGGCAGTGGTTTCTGAGCTGAAGTGAGATCTCTGATCAATGTAATAAATATTATGTGGATAGACATCTTATTTTATTGTTGCATTAATTTTAATATGAAAAAATACCCACAAAGTAGGTCAAGTGTATGAATAAATATTCATTTATTTACTAAAGTACATTTTTTACAGTTATTTATGTACTTAGTCTTATTTGCATGAGTGTACATGACAGATTGGTTTAATTAGATATACCCAGTTATCATTCATAACCTATGGTTTGTTTAAAAAATGCTGGAAAAAACTAAAAAAGTTAGCCAATTGATATAAATGCACTAATAACTTGCTAAGCATAGCTTGGTAGTTGCTATTTATTATATAAAAACGTCTGTCAACATACACTCATGCTTTTTCCGACCACTCGAGTCTCCACTCACCAGGGGCTGGTTGTTCAAAGCTGGGTTAGTTTAACCCATGGTTAACCTAAATTCGAAGCGAACTTCCTGACAGCACAGAATAGTTTTCTGCTAATCTTGGAGATAAACCACTTAAATGTCACATGAAGAAATTTGTATGTAATGCAACATTCTTGTGGTTTAATCAAGTACCCATATTAATCACATCCATGATGCTGTGTGTGTTGATCCCCCGGCAGTTTTCGAGATATTGACCGTTGAAGTGACTATTGTCAACTCGACGTTCGCTAAAATGGCGTCTAATACCTTGGAAAGAAAATGTGCCATCAAAGATGATATTTTCAATGAATTTTTGTTAAAGTGTTAAAATATTATTTAGAAGACTTAGGAGTTGTTTTAATATTTTTTTAGAATTTATATCTGTGCGATTTTCAAAGTTTTGTTGTTTTTGGCCGACGCGACTGGATCCTGTACGTATTTCAAGACGAGCTGATCGCCTGATACTGGTGTTTTTGTGGCAAATCGAGCTGCGGAATCCTCAGCATGGAGGATTCCTTCACTTGTTTTAAAGCAATAAAATAAGTTTTTATGTATCATATAACAAATTAAGTGGCATGTTATTGTGGGGTCTTACCCTGCTGGCAGTGGTTTCTGAGCTGAAGTGAGATCTCTGATCAATGTAATAAATATTATGTGGATAGACATCTTATTTTATTGTTGCATTAATTTTAATATGAAAAAATACCCACAAAGTAGGTCAAGTGTATGAATAAATATTCATTTATTTACTAAAGTACATTTTTTACAGTTATTTATGTACTTAGTCTTATTTGCATGAGTGTACATGACAGATTGGTTTAATTAGATATACCCAGTTATCATTCATAACCTATGGTTTGTTTAAAAAATGCTGGAAAAAAACTAAAAAAGTTAGCCAATTGATATAAATGCACTAATAACTTGCTAAGCATAGCTTGGTAGTTGCTATTTATTATATAAAAACGTCTGTCAACATACACTCATGCTTTTTCCGACCACTCGAGTCTCCACTCACCAGGGGCTGGTTGTTCAAAGCTGGGTTAGTTTAACCCATGGTTAACCTAAATTCGAAGCGAACTTCCTGACAGCTTTTCTATAAATTTGGAAATATTTCTTCAGAGATCTTGTCTGGATCGATAGGAGTTTACTTCTCTGAAGTTTTGAAATACACAGATCTATGTGCAGACGTACACAAACTAAAACAGCAGGTTAAATTTTAACCCAGGGTTAGCGCTAACCCACCTTTGAACAACCGGCCCCAGGTGTCTTTATGAAAATTTTTGGATAAAATCATATAATACCTTACTTCCCATCACCCTCTGCATACATAACCTAAAATCTGGAATTGACCATTGCACTTGGGTCCCTTGGATTCAATGGTGCTGGCCGTATTCTTACATTGAATTCACAATTTTATCTTGTTCATGAAGAGCGAGGTATTATGCCTTAATTTTCCAAATGATGTCAGTAGTTTTTCTCATGAGCAGCACCAATGCACTTGAATGGTACAGAGTGGGCGATTTCTTCCTCCCCATCACTTTCGTCTCCATCACTTAACTTGTCATCACTTTCTGCCCTATCACCTTGATCACCTCTTTCATTATCATATACATTTTGAACAGGTTCAAGACCAGCCAACCACTCAACTAAATCTCTTTCTACAAAATCATAACAAGGAAATTATTATTTGATAAATTGTCATCACTAAAATTAGCAAAAATATACAAACAGCAATATTTAGACAAAAATTTAAAAAAAAATTAAATTACAGTTTGCACATTGAAACAACCACCCACAACTAGATACAAACAGGCATCACACTCAGCAAAAAAATTATAAAACCATACAAATAACTGAATAACAATATACCTTTAGACTCATCTGAGAACCAATTTTCATCATCTGAATGTTCAAAATCAATTCTATTTGCTGTCAATATATGGTCCACATGGAAATCCAAAATCAAAAGCATATGCTGGGTGTTTTCGTTAGCAAACTCATCACACAGTGTTGCCAGATCATGAACAAAGTTCACAGATTTGTGAACTTTTTGTCCTCGACATGAACTTTTCATGAACAACAAGAACTTGTGAACATTTCATGAACTTTTCAAAATAATATGAACTATTTCATGAACTTTACGAACTATTTCATGAACTTTGATTATTTTTCGCCGTTAACGATTAATTTTTGATAAATTATATTTATGAATATCTTATATATCATTCTTTAACATATCTTGTGACTTCTGAGTAAGTTCTGAGGTTTCTGTACACAATGAAATGTTCAGCGGTTGTAATGGTGGTTGTAACGGTTGACCGGAATTTCATGTAATATCCATATAGCTGCTCATCTGCAGATTTGCGATGAGCGATTTTAACAATAAGATAGACGATGAACTATCAGAGTCATCAGATCTAGACATAGATATAGTCATGAAAGAGTTGAACCTGTGGGGCACTGTGCTTGCCCCATGCAAATGTGGATGTGGAAAGGGTGTTTTCCTCTGTCTAGGCAAAAACAAGGAATTGATTGCCCTCATTAAATCTAAGTATCAAATTGTCAGGGGGGGGGGGTGAAGTTTACGCCCCTTCTGGGGCATCATGTATTCAAATGCTAACACGTTGGACAGTGCATGAATCTGACAGTGCCATAGATTTGTAATATATATACCGTATATATATAACATTATATATAGCATTAATGTATTGTTGAGTTAAAATTTGAAATTCATGAACTTTTTGTCAAATTCATGAACATTTTGTACTTTGTCTACATGAAAATTTAGAAATTTGATCTGGCAACACTGACTCATCAGGAGTAGGGTCAAACTAAAGGATTAAATTGTTAGAAATATTACGCCATAATTTGTACAGTGTATTTATAAAATTACAGTACAATATTGACAACAGCAAAGCGGAAATTTGACCAAATAACAAGTCAACTGCATTGTAATATACTAACTTAAATGCATTGTAATATACTAACCTTAAATACTGCGCTTGTTTTCACGTTGATGATACACAGATATTTAACACCATCCAACTTAGAAAGAAGGGCCTCGCTATTGGGAATTTAAACACAATTCCTTCGCTTTGACAGGCGTATTATTTATAAAGCTAAAACGACAGCACGTCCCATGCAATTTAATATAAGGTAAACTTGGTATAGTAAAACACAAGTCATAATGAGGATCGCAACAATACAGCAATAACATGCTATTTTCACGAAGTTTTGCAGCCTGACAATCTTGTATTTCGAATGCTTCCATATTTGTTTACTCAGAGAGATGTTCACTCCACAACAGTCAAGGAGTCATTGAAGCCACGCCTGGAATTACTCGCTCAAACCCATGATGCTTTGTGGCCTGCTTGTCGAACCTCCTCTGACTTGCCACATGATATCTTGCCAACTGCAGTTGCAACAGGGCATGAACCTAAAAAAATAATACGACATATTACTATCTTTTGTGTTCTAACCTTTAGATGAAGATGGTAAGCAACTCTATGGCAAGAAAAGCTACACAGGCTTTGTTTACTGACAGTAGTGCAGGGCAGCAACCTTTTTTAGCAAAGTTCCAGGCAACACTGGAGATTTTTACCACACCAACCTAAACAGTGCTTTTTTTTTTACATTCAAATTCGACCCTGTGTGCAATAAATTTTGCATGGCCCCTTACCTAAAATGCAAACTGTTTGTTAATACTTAAGTATACTGAATAATTTCTTACCTACACAAGATAACACTTTTTGGTAGTGAAAAGCTGCAACACCACCACTCAATAATAAGATAGTTATTTGTTTTTGAATAATTTGGTAACACATATATACATGCAATTTCACAAACAGATAAGATTTTGCTGTTGTCTGTTCACACAGTTATAGATGCACAGTATGACATCACAATGTGGCTCACAAACAAAAAAGTGCTCACGAGGGGAGTGGTGGGTCACTTTTTTGTTCATAATTTCCACATTATGATGTCATACTGTATATCTATACAACACCAAAATCTTATCTATCTAAACCCCCCCCCCCAATTAAACAGGTAAATAGCTTACTTTTATCCACTCAAACATTTTGAAATTTGAAAAATATCATGAATTTTTACAAATATCACACTTACATGATCTATACAAATAAGGGAGTGCTATTGGTTACCTTAATTGTGATGCAATTCCATGCATCTGACCTGTAATATATCATAGCTTTTCCCACAAACGTTATTTTATAAATATATATGGATGAAATGTTCTCAAGTGAATGATTCCAAACCGAGAACATTTCATCCTATCATATTACCGAGTGAACAATATCACACATGAAGATTTCACTTCGAAAGCCATGGTCGAGAGCCATGATCTATTAGAGGACTGACACATGGTTCTTGTCATAACTGGAAAGCCAATCAAGTTCGTCACAATAATCCAGCTAACCAATTATATTGTGTAATCATGATCATGTTAGACAGACAGCATTTTTTCTTCTTTTCAATGCCCCCAAACTTGGTGGTTAATTTGAAAATATTGTGGGTTGGTCAGACTGATTTGCACTTTAAGGGAGTCTTTATGGGGTGGTCGGACTGATATTTGCATTTTAAGGGAGTAAAGCTTTATCAGTCGATTTTTTTCATGTTTATTGGTCCATTTGAAAATATTGACAATTCCTATTGGTTCATTTTTGGCTGGGGGCGTCAGTCCTGAAAATTGCAAAATTCATGCAAAGCAGTCATTCTACTTCTGTTATCTTGTATGTTATAAAATATACCAAGGTTTTTCATAGTAGTAAAATTGTTTTATGATCTTGAATATTGATATGTATGTGGCGAAATGTGATTTCAGGAGACAATTTAACAGTCTTAAATAAACTTCAATTGTCTTTGAACGAGGATTATTGTCAAGCATCGAAAATATCAAGCGAGTACCTTTTATCTTTGCTATTCAATAACGAGAAGGCACTAAGTAGAGACTTCGCTGCTGAAATGTATGTGCCTCACAAGGGGGTCTATTATAGGGGGGTATGCATCACCGAAAACCGTGCTGTTTTTCAAATTTTAACCGCAAACCGCGCACTCAGTTCTCTTTTAAACGTATCCGCGTTCAAACCAAGGCATATGTGGTAACATATTTCGAAACATATTCCACAACATAATGTGAGGCAATAGACCAACAGTCAGTATGTATAGTCGCCATTTCTATTGGAGTATTGAAGATGGAGCCGTTCACAAGTTTCTGTTCACACAAACTTGGTAGTATAAAATTTGGCAATTGGCAAAGCAAATGAAGTCTTAGCAGTTCAAATAGCTATAAAAAGGTTTTCCTTCCATCGCTGCTTATGTTTTGTGTGAGAAACAATCAAGTTGCTTTAATTTCATCTTTTGGGGCAAATATTTATTACTTTGAGACTGATTTCAGTTCGTAATTAGCAGCAATCAGCAAGTCACAATATTAAAAAGCATGTTTTACTTTTACGGAATAATTTTTCCTGCAATGTCACAACCCCCTGTAATTTTTCCCCTCAAATTTTTACCAAATTTGGCAGAATTTTTGGTGTTCTGGTATTCCGTAAACTGGAATGATGCTGTTCCGGTGTTCCCGATTTTACAAATAGCCTGGCCACTTTGCCCATTTGATGTCGTAATTTCGAGGCCCTGTGGAACAACACACACACACGCGCGATTGGAAGATGAATGCCATGAACTGCGGAATTATTGCCATGAGCTCATAAAATATTTCTTAACCGCATGTTAAAAAAAACTCCAAAAACCTCTTTATTTTGGTCAATAACTGAATCCGGAGGGTTACTTTTGACATTTTCCGTCTCCACACGATTTCCAGTTAACCGCAAACCGTACAAAATAACTGGATATAACCAAAATCCGACCTCTAAATATGGCTAAATCCGCATAACCGTGAAACTATAATAGACCCCCTCACAAAGATCATGGTGGTAAAGCCAAAGAGAATGTATGCACTGCTATGAAAATATCAGTGCTGTAAGTAACTTCGTTAAAAGTAACTAGTTAGAAGTAATCGTTACATTTTTCAGTAACGGTAACAGTAACTTGTTACATTTTGAGAAAATGTAATTGTAACGGTAACTAGTTACAAAAAATGCCATAAAATTGAAACGATTACAAGTTATTTTGCCAAAGTTACAAGTTACATTTTGTTCATTGCTATTTGTGTACGTTTTTAAAATGAAATAAATCAATACACAGTGAGGCAAGCTCTTAATCATCTGCACAGGAGTAATTTAATCTGACACAACAGAATCCGTTCAAGACACAAATTTAAGTGAAGGATTGACGGCAAATTTATACGTACAGTTGGAACTGATCGGAATGCCTTCGCTCGCCTTCACTTGGGCCAAGGCCTCGTTATAATTGGTCTTTGGCCTCATTTCACTTGGCCTTGGCCCAGTCATGATCACGTATTCACGTTTCTGCTTTTTCATTGCGAGGTCAGAAGCCACTAGCCAGTGAGGTATATTTTTTTTCAATCTATTCGTTCAGACTGTATAATAGCAGAGTTTTTTTAATTGACAATTCTATTAAAAAATCGATTTGGTGGAATTTTACAGATGCATGCAGATACATCTAGTAAATAGTTATTAATTTTACCAATAATTTTGCCGCAAGTTTCATTACCATTCGGCCCATTCGAATTGTATGCGTTCTTAATTGCAATCAATAAATGTAACTTGTAACTTTGTAACTAAGTTACAAAAAATATATTGTAACTTTGTAACTGTAACTAGTTACACTTTGGGATCTGTAACTTGTATCGGTAACTAGTTATGTTTTTGGTAATGTAACTATAACTGTAACTAGTTACAAATAAACTGTAACTGTTACAGCACTGGAAAATATCCAAAATCAATTAATATTCTGCAATATATTTTGTATCATAAATGATGTTAAATTGAAGTATAACATGCCTTAACACATTGCAACTTGCATTGCTCTCTCTTTATACTTTGTAATAAAGGATAGTAATGCAATTGGAGTGTTAAAACGATGTTATTTTGCTAATTTGCATTGTACGAAAGATTTGTGATGAATATTATTACAAGT